TGGAAGATGAACCTAGCCTAGAGGATAGTGGTGATAGTGATAGAGTTAAAAATGAGCTGCAAAATTATCAACTAGCTAGGGATAGAGAAAGAAGGGAAATCAGATTGCCTAGTAGGTATTCACATGCTGATATAGTTGCTTTTGCTCTTCAAGTTGCTGAAGAGATTAATGAGGAACCTAGGACTGTTAGGGAAGCCATGGGTTGTAGAGAATCTAGGCAGTGGAAACTGGCTATGCAAGAGGAATTTGATTATTTAATTAAAAACCAAACCTGGATTTTGATTGACAAACCTAAGGGTAGTAGGGTAGTTAAATGCAAATGGGTTTTTAAAAGGAAGGACGGCATACCAGGGATAGAAGCACCTAGGTTTAAAGCAAGATTAGTGGCTAAAGGGTTTACACATGTTGAAGGGGTGGATTACAATGAAATTTTCTCACCCGTGGTAAGACATACAACCATTAGGATACTGTTATCTTTAGTAGCTCAGTTTGGTTTAGAAATAGAGCAGTTGGACATTAAAACAGCTTTCTTAAATGGTGATTTAGAGAAGAAGATTCTGATGGAACAACCTAAATTTTTTGAAAGGGGATCTAAGAATCAGGTATGTCTTTTGAAAAAAATCCTTGTATGGCTTGAAGCAGTCCCCTAGGCAGTGGTATAGGAAGTTTGATTTTTTCATGTTGAATGCTGGTTTCATCCGAATTAGTTTTGATGGCTGTTTTTATTTCGAATGTTTATATGGTGAATGCTACATATATTTGTCTCTATATGTGGATGATATACTGCTAGCTTGTAAGGATTTCTCTAAAATTGATAGATTTAAAAGAGAAATGAGTAAACATTTTGAGATGAAACATTTAGGACAAGCTAGGAAGATTTTGGGTATGAACATTAAGAGGAATAGGAAAACTGGAAGTCTCATACTGTCAAAGAAAGAGTATGCTAAAAAACTAATCAAGAAGTTTAATATGATTGACTCTAAACCTGTCAAAACACCCTTAGGTCAACATTTTAAGCTTAGTGTAACCTAGTGTCCAGAAACTGAAGAAGAAAAGAAGGAAATGGCTAGTATACCATATGCCAATGCCATAGGGAGTCTGATGTACTTAATGGTTTGTACCAGACCAAATTTGGCTTTTGCTGTTAGTTCAATTAGTAGGTTTATGAGTAATTCTGGAAAAACTCATTGGGAAGCAGTAAAATGGGTTCTTAGATATGTGAAGGGTACTTTGTCCACTGGAATAGTTTACAGTAGAGGGAAAAGTCAGGAAAACCCCATCATGGGATGTGTAGATGTTGATTATGCTGGAAACATTAATAATAGGAAGTCCATGACTGGTTTTTGTTTTACCATTTGGAATAACCTGGTTTGCTGGAAGGCTAATCTGCAGGCTATTGTAACTCTGTCCACCATGAAAACAGAGTATGTTGCAATTACAGAGGCAGTCAATGAGGCTATGTGGCTCAGGGGAATGCTTGTTGAGATGGGACTGGTTCAGCAACAAGTTCCTATTAAGAGTGACAGTCAAAGTGCCATTTTCCTGTGTAAAAATCAGGTATTTCATGAGAGGTCGAAACACATAGATGTTAGACTTCACTTTATCAGAAACCTGATAGAAGATAAAGTCATCAAGGTGGAGAAAATTCCTGGTAGGGAGAACCCAGCAGACATGTTCACCAAGTCAGTGAACTTAGACAAGTTAAGGCTCTTTAAGAGCCTTTTGCATGTTGAAGAAGATTAAGAAGATTTTTCAGGGCAGTAAGGAATGGAGAAGATCAAATGCCAAGGTGGAGATTGTTAGTGTATGCCCTAGGAACCAATCGTGTCATTGGTTCCGAGGCATTATGTTTTGTATATATATGTGAATGTATATAGTTTGTATATACATTTTATCTTATCCATAGAAGAAAGTGTTCTTATTTCACACGTGGTTTATTGCTTCATTTATATATATGTATTACATGTGAAATGTCCAGATGATACAAATCTTTAGAAGATCAAAATCATCAAAGTATTACCTACATAGGTAGAGATTTGTTGTGATGTGGCACTTGATGACACACGTGGAAGTCAACTTGTAGTATGGCTGGTCAATGTAAATTGTTAAGGCTTGAGGGGCAGTTCAGTCTTTTGCTATTTTCGAATGACCTAATCTGTTTTAGGTCTTATGCGCAGCCCACTGCTCTCCATTCTCTCTTGGTTAACAGAGAGAGAAATCAATTAGAGGTGCTGTGCTGGAAATCCGAGGTTCGTCCATGGAATTAATGGTGATGGTAGGTGTTAGCTGTCCTTATTATTTAGTCTTTCTTTTGCTGTATAAATTGATACTGATTTCTGCCTATTTGATGTGGTATGAGTGGTGAGAGCATCTGGGTATACGGATGTAAAATTAGAGGGTTTTGTATTGGGTTTGTGCCTGTGTAAAGGGGTGAGCCGATTCTTCCGTAAGGTTTCTCAAACTCATAGTGAAACTTTTCTTTCTTGCTCTGAAAAATGGATGTAGGTAATCGTTAAGATTACCGAACCACTATATATTTGGTGTCATCTCTCTCTTTTCTCTTCTTTATTTTTGCTTAATTGTTATTACTGTACTCAATATTGGTGGTTGCTGCATTTTTGGTTATTGCATGTTTGTACTGTTTTGGATTACATTTTACAACAAATAAAACAACCAGAAGAAGTTGATTTATCGTTTTTTCCCAATTAAGAATTTCGAAAGTTGGTTTACCAACTTTTTCAGCTACCTTTTCTATGTGTGCACTTGTCATGGTGCGACGGATGTATGAATTTGCCACATTTTGCTGTTAACTAAAGCTTGTAGATCTTTAGAAATTACTACAAATCCAAATATCGTGTACCCACATGATTTGATCTATGACATTTAATTGAATGATTCGAAACTTAAATGTATAGTGTGGCAATCTTAATGGTAATGCGACGTGGTTGAGGAGATTGGGCTGTGACGATCCAAGGAAGGAAGGAAACACGGAGAAGAGTGTACGTGGCTGTGGTTTGTTGGCGGGGTACATGTGGCTGTGGTTTGTTGGCGGGGTACATGTGGCTGTGGACGCGGCGGCAAGTGTTTGTTGGTGGGGCTGTGATAGGGTTGCATTAAGTGAAGTGATTTAACATTTTTTATTTATTTTTTATTTTACAATTTCATTAATTATACTAACTATAAAATCTATTAGCAATTTATTAACCTAAAGGTGTTCAAATCAGCTTGCGTGCGTTCCAGTAGAGACTATTCATACTATTAGCAATCGAGGAGAATCGAACTCTAGTAGAGACTATTCATACTATTAGCAATCGAGGAGAATCGAATTCTAGTAGAGACTATTCCTACTATTAGCAATCGAGGAGAATCGAATTTCAATAGAGATTATTCATACTACTATTAGCAATCGAGGAGAATCGAACTTAAGATTTTTTTAGTAATACACCAAAGAGTTCTTATCGCCCCACCCGATCATCTAGGGATAATTTAATCTGTTAAAAGTTGTGTTCCATTTAACCACCTAAGACAAGTTATAACATAATACAACTCAAATAGATTGTAAAAAATAGAATAATACTACACTTACAAAGTCCTCATACAAGAATGTGTGTACAAAGTGATGTGTCATACTATGATTAGGAGAGTGAATTTGTCAAGTCAACTTTTTAACTAAAGTCAAATTCATTGTCTAATCATGGTATGACACATCACTTTGTATATATATATATCTTTGTATGGAGACTTTGTAAATGTAGTATTACTCTAAAAAATATAAGTCAAAGTTAATCCAATTTTAATATCAAAATCTAGAAAAGAATCTACTAACATGAAAAATGTGCATGATTTAATTTAGCTAATCATATCTTGCCACATAATGTTGTATGGAAAATGTTGTATGAAAATGATGTATGTGTAGTATTACTCTTAATTCACACTGTAATTGTAAATGAGTTTGAATTGAATTGTTTTAGAGTGATCTTGTAGTTCTTATTTTCAATTATTAAGGTCACATTTTTGTTTGTTTAAAAACTATTTGGAATTCTTTGTTTCAAAATTATAAATTGAATTTACGTTTGATGTGAACTCAATTTCATTAATCAACTTAAAATTGTAAATTATTCATTTATTATAAATTCATATAATAGTCACTCTCCAAACTATACACTATAACTTAAATATTCATTAGATAATATATATAACAGAATTTAAGCACAATATAATTTGTTGTAGGTAGTCTTAAGGTTTGAAACAAAAAACTAAATGAAGGAAGAAAACTTCCTTGACTGCCAAACCAACCCCTTAAAGTTAATTTATGATATATTCATCTCAAACAAGTTTTGTTGCTGTCACACTAAAGGAATGATCGCACAATATTTCTACATGATAGAAAATCAGCAACATGAAAATCATAAGCAAATGAGTCATGTTCAAATCACAAGATTGAAATTTTATTTTGCTTGCAAACTTGATGCATGTTTCCTTCACAGAACTCAATTTGGGTTGATTTTTCTGATCTAATTTACATGTATATAAACAATCAAAATGAAGTGGGTCTTATCAAATTCTAAACCAGAAAAATTAGTATGAAAATGGAAATTGACATTTAACCAACTACTACCATCCTCTAGGCCTCTGTGTCTTACCCTACCAAACAATTTACCAATTCCCAGAAAAAGGTTTCAACTCCAGGTGGCCATTGATAGTAGTAGCCGTACCAGTTCAAATACCTGGGTAGGTGAGCAGACCAGAGATAATTTATGCAAAATGGTGTGCAAAAGAGATTAATAAATTTGCCTAATTTTAGGATTAGTAGCATTTGCATTGGTTTATCAGTGTTAAAAATTTCATGCATTAACAGGTTACCAAATCTGGTTCTTTTGAGTAACACAAAAGGAGACAAGTTCACCATCCCCCATCTGCCTTCCTCACTAGGTAATTAACCAACACTATATATTTCTTGTTCCATTCATCTTTTTTTTTACCCATTTAAATTTCTTCAATTGATTCCCTCAACACAAGCTCAATGACTACTAAGACAAAGAGAATCATCACCATTCTTCTAAGGCTTCTAGCCTTGGGAGCAACCATTGCTGCAATTGTTGTCATGGTCACAAGCCATGAATCAGCTCAAGTTTTGAACTTGACATTCACCGCCAAATATAGCAATGACCCTGTATTTAAGTAAGTTTTCACCACACATTATCTTATTATCTTTTTTTTTCCCCCTTCTTTTTTCTGGTTATTAAATGTTTGATAATTTGGTATAGGTACTTTGTGGTTGCAGAAGCAATTGCAGGCGGGTATAGCCTACTAGTTCTTGTTCTTTCTTCCAAGAGTTTGCTTTGGCGCCTAACAATCATCCTGGATGTGGTAATGAAGCAAGCAGATTTCATTTTTTGGTTTAGATGTTCTAGGTGATATTAAATTTCAACTGGGTTGATTATGGTGTTTGTGAAAATTCATTTCTCAGGTTGTAACCGCCCTGCTGACCTCAAGCATATCAGCGGCGTTGGCAATAGCTCATGTGGGGAAGAAAGGCAATAGTCATGCTGGTTGGTTACCTATTTGTGAGCAAGTTCCGAAGTTTTGTGACCGTGTCACTGGAGCACTTATTGCTGGTTTTGCTGCTGCGATAATCTACTTGGTGCTTCTTCTTTACAGTCTCCATGCTGTCCTCAGCCCGATTTTTGCTGTTAAAATTTAATTAAAAGGCTCCCTAATCCATATTATATATGTAGATCTTGTCCTTCTAAATGTTCTTTTACGTCCTTTTCCATCCAAGTGTTCTGGTGTTTATACTCCAAATGTACTAAGATATGTTAATGATCAAATATTAGAGCCATGCAATGTTTAGTTTATAAGATATTGAGAATAATAAAACTATCTTGATCAGACTCATCTCTTATAAGCATTTACCCAAAAATTTCGAATGAAAGATACCATTAATCCTAATCAAGAAAACCCAAAACCAGTTGAGAATACATACAAATAAAAAATGACAATAAATTAATTTTGTGAGGACAAGAATGAGCTACTACAAGTATTGGGCAAACAACCTGTTGAGATTGTGAAGTCAAATTCAATCCAAATTAGAGTTGGATTAGGACATGAATTTTCCTAATTTGTATTTAAGTAGAATTGTTTCTTTTAGGAATACAATTGGGAATATAATTATAATTGTATTAGAAATTAAAATATAATTCCTATTAAGATATGTGATTTGAGTCCTATTAGGAATAGTGTCTTATGTATTACCTATATAAAGGGGTTAAGTGTTAGAGTTAGATAACACAAATTGAATAAAAGGCAAAACCACAATTAGAGAGTGAGAGCCACCAAATATGGTTTAGTGAGTGAGCCAATTTGTGATGCTTGTGAGAGATTCTTGTAATTTCTTTTCTTCTTCTTCATAGTGAAATTCCGCAGTGGCAAAGTGGACGTAGCTCTCATATGGAGAGTGAACCACTATAAATCTTGTGTTTGTGTATGTGGTTATTTTGTGTCCTTTGTTCGCACTATTTTTCGCTTTCAAGGATATAGGATTTGCTAGTATTCAATTAAATCCCCCCTACAATTAGTATCAGAGCAAGGTTCAAGGAAAAAAGCGATGGTTGGAGAAGAAGGAGGATCTACACTTGGGATCAACAAGTTCGATGGAACATATTACGCGTTTTGGAAGATGCAGATTGAAGATCATCTGTATGGCAGAAAATTACATCTACCTCTCCTAGGACCAAAACCCGAAATGTGTCAGATGAAGATTGGGCACTCCTTGATAGACAAGTTTTACTGTATTAGGAGTCATTCGGTTGACATTGACTAAGAACATAGCAAGCAACGTGGCGAAGGAGACAACCACAACAAGGTTGATGAAGATCTTGTCTGATATGTATGAGAAGCCTTCTATGAATAAGAAGGTACATCTTATGAAAAAATTATTTAATATTAAGATAAAAGAAGGTGCTTCCGTGACAGAGCATATGAATTATTTTAATACAATTATTAATCAATTGTCATCTGTAAAAATTGATTTTGATGAAGAAGTCTGTGCCCTAATTCTCATGGCCTTCCTACCAAATAGTTGGGAGCCTATCAGAGAAGTAATTAGTAATTCAACAGGTAGTGCGAAATTAAAACTCACAGATGTTAGAGACAAAATTCCTGTTGAGGAGGTTCACAGGAAAGATTCAGGTGAGATAACATCAAATGCTTTGAATGTTGAAACAAGAGGTAGGGGCTACAATAGAAAATCAAATCGAGGCAGAGGAAGATCAAAATTAAGGAACAGAAGAAGCAAGTCCAGGTTTGGGAAAAAGGTCGATTGCTGGAATTGTGGCAACAAAGGCCACATACAGAGGAATTACAAAGCACCAAAGAAAGAGGAGAACAGCGATAATGATGCCGCCAATGCCATAACTGAGGAGGTACAAGATACTTCTTCGGTTTTAGATTCAGGAGATTTGTTTCATTCCACTGCACACCATGAAATTCTAGAAAATTATGTGCTAGAAATCATGGAAAGGTATACCTAGCAAATGGAGAACCTTTGGATATTGTAGGTATGGGTGATGTTAGGTTGAAGATGACAAACGAATATGTGTGGAAAATCCAAAAAGTAAGGCATGTACCAAATTTGATGCACAATCTAATATCAGTTGAGTAACTTGACGATGAAAGGCATAGTGTGTCCTTTCTAGGTGGTGTATGGAAAGTTACTGAAGCAGCCATGTTGGTTGCTCGTGGAAATAAAACTGGAACTCTTTACATGACTTCTAGTTGTAGAGATTCAGTTGCAATCGCAGTGTTAATGCTACCTCGAGTTTGTGGCATAGTAGACTTGGGCATATGAGCATGAAAAGAATGAAGGAGCTTCAATCAAAGGGAAAACTACTAGAGTTGAAGTTGATTGATCACAGTTTGCGTGAAGGTTGCATCTTTGGCAAACAAAGAAGAGTAAGTTTTTCCAAAGTAGTGAGAGAACCAAAGGCAAAGAAGTTGGAGTTGGTTCATACAAATGTGTGGAGACCCGCTCCTGTGTCATCCCTTGGAGGCTCAAAGTACTATGTGATGTTCATTGATGATGCAAGCAGAAAGGTATGGGTTTATTTTTTGAAAAATAAATCTGATGTTTTTGATACTTTTAAAAAGTGGAGAGCCATGGTTGAAAATGAGACAAACCTAAGGGTGAAGTGCTTGCGATCCGATAATGGAGGAGAGTACATTGATCAAGGGTTCAAAAAATATTGTGCCAATAATGGGATCAAGATGGAGAAGACCATTCCTGCAACTCCTCAACAGAATGGTGTCGTTGAAAGGATAAATATAACCCTAAATGAGCGTGCAAGAAACATGAGATTGCATGTTGGACTACCACATATATTTTGGGCTGAGGCAATTACTACTGTAGCCTACTTGCTCAATAGAGGACCCTCTGTACCGCTAAATTGCAAGATCCCAAAAAAAGTTTGGAGCGGCAAAGAGGTAAATTGTTCTTTCTTAAGAGTGTTTGGTTGTTTAGCATATATTCACATTGACTCTACTCTTAAAAGCAAGTTTGATGCTAAATCTAACAAATGTTTTTTCATTGGTTATGCTGAGACTGAGTTTGGTTATCATTTCGGGGATGACCAAAACTACAAGATTATAAGGAGAAGAGACATCATATTTAGTGAAGAAATGATGTACAAGGATAGGCTCAACATGAAGTTAGAAAATCCAAGCACTGAAGTGAAGAAGCAAGAGGTAGTTCCTTTGAAAGACTTCCCAATGAATGGCATGCAAGACAATGACCAGGAAGATTAAGATAATATATCTTAAGAAGTTGAACCACAAACACCACCATAGAGATACTCTCATTCTATACACTATATTTTACTAACTGATGGTGGTGAACTAGAGTGTTACAAGGGAGCAATGCAAGTTGATGACTCAATCAAGTGGGAGCTAGCTATGAAGGATGAGATGGACTCATTATTAACAAAACAAACCTGATAGTTGACATAGTTACCTTTAAGGAAGAAGGCATTTCAAAACAAATGGGTTTATTGGGTGAAAGATGAATATGATGGCACCAAATGATATAAAGCAAGATTGGTCATGAAAGGATTTTAGCAAAAAGAAGGCATTGACTACACTGAAATTGTCTCTCCAGTTATCAAGTTGACTACAATAAGAACAATACTTGGGTTAGTGGCAAAGGAAGACATTAATCTTGAGTAGTTAGATGTAAAGACGGCGTTTCTTCATGGAGAACTGGATGAAGAAATTTATATGCAGCAGCCACAGGGTTTTAAAGTACAAGGAAAGGAGAGAATGGTGTGCAAACTTCAAAAGAGCCTATATGGGCTAAAACAAGTGCCTAGACAGTGGTACAAGAAGTTTGATGGGTTTATGTGTAGTAAAGGTTTCCTCAGATGCCAAGCAGACCATTGCTGTTATTTCAAGAAACTTGGTAACTCTTATATCATCTTATTACTATATGTAAATGACATGTTGATTGCAGGGGCTTGTAAACAGGAAATAGATAAGCTGAAAAGGCAATTGTCAAAGGAGTTTGCTATGAAGGATTTGGGAACTGCAAAACAAATACTTGGTATGAGGATTACCAGAGATAGAACCAAAGGTTTCTTGAAGCTATCACAAGAAGAGTATGTGAAGAAAGTACTCAATAGGTTCAACATGGATGGAGCAAAGCCAGTAAGTACTCCTTTGGCTAGTCACTTTAAACAATCCAAAGATCAGTCACCTACAATAGAGCATGAGTGAGACTACATGGCCAATGTACCCTATAAATCAGCAATTGGCAGTCTTATGTATGTCATGGTGTGTACAAGGCCAAACATAACACATGCAGTGGGAGTTGTGAGTAGGTACATGAGCAATCTAGGAAAGCAACATTGGGAAGCAGTAAAATGGATTCTCAGATATTTGAAAGGTACTAAAGATTCAACATTATGCTTTAGGAAGATAGACTTAGAGCTACAAGGTTATGTGGATGATGATATGACTGGTGACATTGATAACCGTAAGGTACTACAGGTTATGTGGTACAACAGTTAGTTGGATTTCAAAGTTACAGAAGATTGTTACTCTTTCTACTATAGAGACAGAGTATGTTGCTATGACAAAAGCTAGTAAAGAGCTAATATGGTTACAACAGTTCCTAGAAGAATTAAATCAGAATTATGAGAAAAGCGCTTTGTATCGTGATAGCCAAAGTGCAATTCACCTGGCAAAGAACTAGTTTACCATGCTAGGACAAAACACATAGAAGTTCGTTACCATTTCATACGCTTAGTTTTGGAAGGAGTTATAGCACTCGAGAAGATTGAAGGGAGTAAAAATCCAACTAATATGTTTACGAAGGTGGTTACCATTGAGAAACTAAAGTTGTGTACAACTCAGTTGGACTTCTCGCTTGAAGAAAGAAAAGTTGATGCCACTGCTGATGGAAGTGGAGAATTAAAAACATGTTGAATTAGTCTCCAAGTGGAGATTATTGAGATTGTGGAGCCAAATTCAATCCAAATTAGAGTTGGATTAGGACATGGGTTTTCCTAATTTGTATTTAAGTAGAATTGTTTTCTTTTAGGAATATAATTGGGAATATGATTATAATTGTATTAGGAATTAAAATATAATTCCTATTAGGGTATGTGATATGAGTCCTACTAAGAATAGTGTCTCATGTATTACCTATATAAAGTGGTTAAGTGTTAGAGTTAGAGAACACAAATTGAATAGAAGGCAAAGCCACAATTAGAGAGTAAGAGCCACCAAATAGGATTTAGTAAGTGAGCCAATTTGTGAGGCTTATGAGTGATTCTTGTAATTCCTTTTATTCTTCTTCATAGTGAAATTTTGTAATGGCAAAATTGACGTAGCTCTCATACGGAAAGTGAACCAATATAAATCTTGTGTTTGTGTATGTGGCTATTTTATGTCTTTTGTTAGCACTATTTTTCGCTTTAAGGGATTTAGGATTTGTTAGTATTCAATTAAACTGTCCAACACAATCAACGTCCACCAATAAGATTAGGCGGTCTCAGATTTGGACATTATAGATAGCTCAAATAAGATGCTGCACACAATAGTGCATACTGGAATCTTCCCATAAAAGCGTTAAAAGTTAAAACAGCCTCAAAGCTTATAGTTAAAACAAATTTAGAACCATGAACACAAAAACAAAATCCTGAGTACCCCAATTCAGAGGACGATGGTTTGTGGAGTTTTGTCCTTGACCAGCCCTTGGTGTTCGGATTTAGCCTCCAAATTTGATGCCAAAAGAGCCTTTAATCGTCGTCCGACCACTTGCGGTTCAACAGTTAGAATTGTATGTTCAGATTCCGGTCTAGACTTGCCTGCAAATACTGGTGAGCACCCTCTCTTAGCTCAAAAATTGATCTTAAAAAGTTTCTTTACAATTCTAAGTGATAGTCGACATACAATAGGTTAAGAGAATTTTGTCCTGTGGTATCAGTCCTAGAAGAATTGTAAGAGCTTTATGTGAAGTTCTTCTTTTGGGGGGATTTGTCTTGGGATTTGTATGCAAGTTGCAGAAAAAATGAAAAGAAATTGGAGTCTGTATGTGAAATTTCGGTTGCCCGTTTTGGCTTTGAGACATCGTTGGACGTGATTGTGTTATATTGAATGGTCAATGATAAACAAAACAGGGAAGTTTGCATAAGCCCCATTTGTTTGTGTATGGGACCTAAAACTGAGAGAGGCAATCTTCCTTGAACAATTTATAGCTATTTTATAGGTTTTTTACTATTAAAGGTAGTGTTATTTTATGCCAAGTGGTCATTTTTTAATGTCTAACATTTGCTTCTCTCCTTATGTGTATTACATGCTCTCTTTATATAGGGTTGTGGCACTGAAACCTTCATATTGCCTAGTTGAAGGTCGAATAGTTGTAGTTTCAGAGGCAGTAAATCAATGTTTAGTAGCGGTGCATTCCTATTTATATCCATTGGCCAAGCATACTTTGTTTGATGTGTATAGCCTAAAATTCTTCTTCTTTGTACCTATTATATGATAACTGCAGAAGGAGGGGAGAGGGATTTTGTGTTGAGAGAGGTAAAAACTTTGCGGAGTTCCTGTGATATGACAATTTAATGAACCTAGTCAACATAGTATGCCTTCCAAGAGAAGAACTGAGCTAAACTGAAGTACCTGCTAATTGAAAATCTAATTGAAGCCCTATCTCACCCCCCTCAACAGTTGTGTTTATGTCTGCAGGTGATACGCCCATTAAGAATGTGAATGACAGCCGAAATATTTTTCTAAAGTTGTTGTCTCATCTAATTCTAACTTCAAGTTGGTTTTGAATATTAATAATTTGATTATGACAGGGAAACTTCATAGTGATGCTTCTGTGACTGGTGGCGCTTATGGTTTTGATAGAGCAACAACATCTCTCACTCAAAAGTTGATCTCATCGACCAAAAAAGGTCACTCTTGTAAGGCATGGTCTTAGTTCTTGGAATGATGAGGGCATAGTTCAGGTTTGTTGCCTTTCTTATTTTACTAACAAGGGATGTGTGAATTGAATGTTCCTTGAGCAGTGCTTGCTTCTTTGTTTCTTTTTTACATCTGTTTTCTTTGTATAGTTTGGTTGTGTTTCTGCCCTTCGTTACTTACTAATACATCGGAGAAAGGCTTTGGTGGAATCTGATGGTGAAGTATAGTATAGACTTGTTAATATCACTGAAATTTCATCCATGATAAGAAGAAAAATCACGTGAATTCCTGGCTTTAATTCTTATTCCTCTCACATTTTTCGCCATCTTAACCTTTTCTTTTAGGCTTTCATGAAGTTGTTTACTTTCTGTGGACATAAAATTCAAGTATAATCCTTTTTCTGTGTCTTGAAATGCCATTCTAGATGCTATTTTGAATCTTTTTTTTCCATTTTTCCAATGAGAAACAGAGAGAATTTTATTAAGGAAATCAAATCAGATGATAACTTCATTACTTCAAGCATGTATGTAGGGAAGCTCAAATTTGTCTGTGGTAACAGAAACTGGAGTAAGGCAAGCAGAGAGGTGTCGGGAAGCTTTAAGAAATATATCCTTTGATCGATGCTTTTCAAGTCCAATATCTCGTGCCAAAGTATAGATACCATCATAAACCCTTCTAATATTCAGTGTTAGCTTGTTTATTTTTTTAACTATAGATGTTTCATGTAGACCACTGCTGAAGTTTTATGGCTAGGGAGGGATGAGCCACTTGTTTTCCTTGATTCATTGAAGAAGGCCCATCTATTTTTCCTTGAAGGCATGAAAAATGGTCAGTCTCCCCTTGTATTCATTCCGAAAGTTCTAAAAATATTACCTTTACTTGAAACAGAATTTGCTTCATGTATACTATAATTTTTATACTGTAGTTTCTTTCGAAAATAGTGTCTACTCATCACATTTCCATGTTAGAACAGAACTTGTTCAAATATTTCATTTATTTCCAAATCTATGAGACTAAATCATGCTCAGTATTTGGAGGCAGTGGAAGCTAGGCAGAAGTATCCAAAGGAGTATACAACTTGGAGAGAAAATCCTGCTAACTTTGAAGTGAATGGTGTCTATCCTGTAAGAAAACAATGGGGAACAGCTAGGGAGGCTTGGAGGGAAATTCAATCCACACCTGTATGTCCTTTTCATGCCTATAGTTGTTTGTGTTTCTTATGTTTCAAATAGATTTTTTTGACAGGTTTCTCTCAGGGAAAGAACTTATTGGTTGTCACTCACAAATCAATTTTGAGGGTGCTTATCTGTACAGCTTTAGGGCTAGGCCCAGAGAGGTATGTGATGGTCTTATCATAATTGCAGTTATGCCAGTGATCTCTGTGATTATTCTCAATCACATTTGATCTTAACTTGAGAATTCCATGAATATTATATGATATAGTCCTCTTTTCTCTCTGAAGCTTTGCCATGAAATCACCTTCTAGGTGGAGTTTTGCCTTTAGTTCGAATGTGTTTTGAGTTATATTTCCTGATTTTCAGATGACATGAGTGCTCTTGGCCAGTGATTAGGAACCCAGCCCAACCCGGCCGGTTGAAGCGGGACCTGGGGCCTTCACCGAGTCAGGTTAAAATTTTTCCTATTCATTCAAAACCCTAGAAATTAGGACATTAATCCATGAACAATTGAAGGTTGAAATGTTAGGGCTTTTGAAGAGGAATGGCCAACGAGTGGAATGGTGGCGACGAAGGTGATTTCCGATGAATGAGTCGATCGGAAATCGCAAAAATAAGTCGTGGAAAAAAGCCCGCTATTGTTGGCAATTGAGGAGGCTAACGAGGGAGGGGTGAGATGAGTTTTGGTCAGGAGGCTGAGGGGAGTGTTTTCATGGTGATGGGGAGTGTTGTCGTTGGACACATGCTCTATTTGCCGACGCCGACGGTGGTGTTTGGGGTGTTTTTGCAAAATTTTAAACCTATTGAGACTTATAGTAATTTTTAGGGTTATTTTTGTTTGATTTCAAACCTTTGGACACTAGTTTTACCCGCCGGTCAAACTGGTTAAACCGCTCAACCCGGACCCGGTGGCTTGGTCGGGTCACTACACAGGTTGGGTTTCTAATCACTGCTCTTGGCAACACATCTTTTTCCTTTTTCCACATAAGTCACATCTCATCGCTAAATGGTCTTAGTCATCTTATTGAAGGAAATGTGCTTCCTAAGATCATTTATCTTAGAATTATATATTCATAATAAAACATTCCTGACATGATCTTTTGGCAGTCAGCTCTCATAAGCCTCTTGATGTTTCAGGTTTCGCGCAATAGATGTGAATAACGGTGGCATATCTGTATTTGTTTTAAACAAACAAGGAGAAGCGATGCTTTAGTCTTTGAACATGACAGCGCACATGTACAGTGATTACAAGTACTTTTATTGAAGTTTCGTAATGCATTTTGCTGAATGGCAACCATTTTAGCTGCCCTATGCATACAAATACTAGATGCAGGATACAGCAGTACTCGTGGGGTAATATGGTCGGAATGAGTAGATTGCCAGTTCAGCCTGTTTTCTTTCTCATAACGGTTTTAACTTTGCTAAGTTACTTTGATCCAAATTTAATTGTAAAAATCAAACTTGACACTCTCGTGCATGGCTGCAGCCATGAATTGGTTCCACTGTTGTCCCTTATGTTGATGATAACATGACTTGCTGATTTCATGATATGGCAACATAATAACATGACTTGCTGATTTCATGATATGGCCTATTTTTTTCTGGATAAGTCATTTCGGTTAGGTATACGTATGAAAAGAGATACATGGTAGTACTTACTATTGACCGAAGTACTAATTTTAACATTGCTCAAACAACGTTTGTTGGCTGAGTTTGAGAATGGAGTGGTGGTGATCGTGGAGAAGTTGGAGAAGACAGGCTTCGAGACTGCGTGGCTCTGCTTGAGCTGTGTCTGTCTCGGCTGGAAATAATTTACCAAATATTTATTTATTTGAAATCGGTTTATTTGGTGAAGAAAAAAAAATTAATTTCAAAGTGGTGGTTGTGGAATTTTGTTTCAAAACGAAAAATCAAAGAGGGAGAAGAAAAGGGAACTTCAGTGAAAGAGAGAGAATAAAAGAAAATTCTTTTGTTTGAAGATGAACAAAGGGGGTCACGGTGGGAAGGAAAGGAAAAAAATGAGAAGAATGAGGGGGCAAAATAATAAAGGAAACAAGACAGAAGGATGAAATGAAATGACCATCTTGCCCTTGACATTTTTTCAGAACTTGGAGGGCATTACGGTTTTAAGCGGTGACTGATATTTTTTGAAAATTGTAGAGATCAGTTTATTAAGATTTAAGAGTGAGTTTGAAGTTGCATTAGCTTCTCCGATAATCACTTCATTATTTACAATTCAAAAAAATTTGGTAAACTAATTTGAAAAGTGATTATTCAACAATTTGATTATGAAAAAATCTATTTTATAAAAGGATTTTAAAAGCACTTATAGCCTTCAAAATTCAAAAGCTACTTTTAAAAGGGCTAATTACAAAATCACCCAAGATTAACTTAAATTATAAATATATTTCAATAAAAATATTTAAATAAAATATTAAAAACAGAAAAGTTCATAACTGATCAGTGGAGTTGCTGGCGATCGACTACTGGTAAAATTCTTCGGTGATGAGTGGACCAACACCATCAGCACGGTTGCACTCGTTAGTGCAATTGTGTCGACGGTGTCATAAAAGATGACATCGCTTAGCTGCAATGGTCTGGCAAAGTTTGATCGAAACTTTGCCGGCCCACTAGGGATCAATGACACAGTATTTGACAACTGCGCCAACATAGAAGCACTCGGTGACAAGCGATTTATGCAACCATGTTGGCCATGTCGACCCACTTGCTATTGAAGAATTTTCTGCGGCAGGCAACCATCAGTGACAACTTATTTGAAGACCAGTTTTCAATTTTTTAAGGCTTCGCTTTGGTTCTCTTTTGGGAATACTATTATTACTATTCCCAAAAAGGTTAAACAGTAAAATGTCATTATTTCTAAAATATTATTCTATATTTTTTTAATTTCTTTTTAACCTCCTAAATTTGTTAATTTAACTAAACACTCCCAAATATTTTTTTGAGAAACTGCAAAAATACTTAGACCACCCTTCGGCGGTGGTGGCTAGCTGTCCGTATTTAATGGGTGGGTTGGGGTGCTTTTGTAAACTTTTAATATTTTATTATAGGGGTGTTTAGTAAATAAACAAACATAGGGGATATTTTTGTTAATTTCCAAATCCTACATCGTAATACCCGCCCAATTTAACTTTTTTCAAAAGATTATTTTAAAAACTATCAGAATAATGAACCAAACGGAGCCTAAAATTTTCAACTTTTTAATGAAATTGACTAAATTTTTGTAGATTTTCAATTTCAGAATAACGAATTCTCTTTGAAATTTGGTGAAGATTATTAATAACTCCTATTTTGAAAATCTACAACTTTTTAATGAGTTTTAATATTATTAATAATAGAAAAAAATATTTAAAAAACTCCTGGCTCCGTTTGGTTCAAAATTTTGGGGTTTTGGGAAAAGTTTTTTGAAAAAAGTTAAAAAAAAGTTGAATTGGGCGGGTATTACGATATAGAATTTATAAATTAATAAAATACCCTTTATGTTTGTTTTTTTACAAAATACCCCCTATAATAAAACATTAAAAGTTAACAAAAATACCCCTAACCCACCCTCAAACACCCCCAGCCGACGACCACCACCGGAGGTGGCCGGAGTCGCCGTATGGGCGCATGACCGGTTGGATCTTGCCGGTCATGCGTCGCTATGGCCTTTTCCGGCCAATCCACGGGGGTCTGGCCAGAAAAGGCCAGATCTACGGTCAGATCTGGCCGTTTTGCTCTCAACGATGGCCAACAAACGGTCGTCGTGATGGTCAACGACGACGTTTGTGGCCGTCGTGACCGAGTGTTACGGCCAAAGATCTGGCCGTCAACGGCCGACTTTGGCCTTAGATCTAGCCTTTTCGGCCAGATCCACGGTGGATCTGGCCGGAAAAGGCTAGATCGGGCACTACCGCCAGATTCAACCGGTAGTGCGCCATCCTACCAGATTCCGGCCATTTTCCGATGGTGGTGGCCGGAACTGGTAAATGTGGATTATTGGGTGTTTTTGTAATTTTAAAAAAAATATTTAGGGGTATTTAATTAAATTATCAAATTAAGGGGTTTAAAAAAAAGTGAATAATATTAGGAGTAGTATTCCAAAAAATTGAGTTTTGGATATTTTACTATTTAACTTTTTTGGGAATACTAAAGTAGTATTCCCAAAACTGAAAAAAACGCAGCCCCTATTTTGTTCTCTTGCATGAGTTATATTCTTTCTCAAAATAAAAGTAATTTTAAAATTTAACAAAACAAACACTTCATAAATTATTTTTTGTAGTTGATAACAGGGCCGGCTTAAGGGGTAGGCAGGTGGAGGCACCTGCCTAGGGCCCCAAAAATGGGGGGCTGGGGGCCCAAATTTTTATAAATTTTTTTTTTTTTTTGAATATCTTACAAAAAATGAAAAGGTTATAATTTCTTATCTAGTCAAGGGCCCCAAAAAAAGCCAAAAAAGCTAAATTTATTATAAACTTTTTACATATATTTTCCACCCAAAGGTAACAAAATAGCAAGTTTGTACCTCTAGTTTATATTCTATTATACCCCTAAATTAACAATTGAATCTCTTTTAACAATGGAAGACTAAAATAGTCATTTACATATCTTAAATTACTCACCCCCAATTCAATCCCAAAATTTGACTTACATAAATCATCTCCAGCCCTCTTCTGTCGCAGTGGGTTGGAGTTGATTTCGGTCAATTTTGGTTCGGGCGATTTTCTTACCAAAATCATCCAAAAACATCATTTTATCATTTTCCAACCTTGATAGCCTTCGATTGACTAATTTTTTATGAATCTCGCAACCTAACTCCACCACACGACAGCCATTTCCAGCCTTTGGCATGTACCGACTTGTTGGCCTTCCCCGACACCACCATCTTCCTCCCTAGCCCTTCACCAAAACCCCTATCATACCTTATACGTTTACTCTGCCAATCGTCGGCCATCGATACCTTTGGGCCGTGACTTCTCAAGCCTTTTATCAATCTTGGCATTGGAAATCACTCATTTTACCACCCATCACTTCTCTAAAATACTCTCTAAAACCCCCCACCAACCTAACCTATTAGTCTGCCGATGTTGTCCACCTCTTCTAGTGATTTTTCACCTCAAAAGGCAAAAAAAAAAATAATAATAATAATAATTTTTTTAATAAT